CAGTTTCTCATCAATAAGCATGGAAAGTATAACCGATCGGGACCATGAGAATATGGGATTACCATCGTTTCCATTGCATGAAAATGATCGGTATATACCGAAGCTCAGTATTTCAGTATGAATACGGATACCGGTGCATACCTAATTATCTCTGATTCATCCATAAATACATTTCTTCCTACAATTGACGGTGACTGATTTTCATCATTAATTGCAGATATTTCTTGATGATGATCATTTGTACACACATCAACGTCATTTTCATGCAATGGAAACGATGGTAATCCCATATTCTCATGGTCCCGATCGGTTATACTTTCCATGCTTATTGATGAGAAACTGTTTCTTGTTCGTAAAACAGGTACAAAATGATTTGGACGCCATATACGTTCTTCATCCGGTTTTGGGTCAGACCAGAGTACTCGCAATGGTTCGTCCGACAATATTGAATCCGTCTGCCGTGGTTCGTTGATACGATTTAGAAGCTCAAAATAGCCATCATTATCATTTATGTTTGGATATATAGATTCTATTCTACGACCAAATATGGAAGATACAGCTGCCAACGTATGGGCACTAGTATATTCATGATTATTCATAATTCGCAATACATGTTCTTGCACTGTCTCATCATCAACTAGATCAAGTTTCATACTATACAGCATTGTTGTATAATGTTCTTCATTACACGCTAGTTCTATAATAGTACGGACGCGAATCTCATCGACGCTCAAATTAGGATAGAATATCTTAATAGCGTTGAACATGCAGTTTTCATCCACTTCCACATAAACTGGACTATATTCACGTCTAACAATATCAGTATAATAATCAAGTAGATATTGTGCCCGTTCATCTAATCGATGAATAGCAGGGTCGTAAACTGTTGTTGCTGTGTGAGATATTGGAAGCTTCTTTTCTACAGGTTCCAAATCGATACATGTCGCTTTAAAGCTTTCAAAATCTTGACTAACACTACTTAAACTACCCCAAATGGACTGATAATAATTTTGTCTTGTTTCTAAATCATATTGATCACAAATAAAACTGTTGCTTGTGTAGTCACGGCATCTGCTACGTTGCTGAGATTATAATTCTTCGTTTGTCTCTTGCAAAAGCTCTCGATGCATTCTTTATGTGATGAAACAACGAGCTTTAACTAGTATAACTTCACTCTAATGATATGTATATATATATATAGAGCAATGGAGAAAAGAAAGTGTGCCATATTCAAAACAAGAACTTGTCTTTTCTATCGTATGTACATCTATGCTTTAACTCAATTATTCACATTATATATCTGTTTAGCTTTTTGTTTCATTGTATTAAAGTGTTCATGAGTTCATATTTATAGTTCATTAGTGATAAATAGATAAACACATTCATAATGATTCATTATCAACTGGCTTTGAAAAGTCTGTATATGTATATAGATGAACGATATCATCATTATCATTAATCACGTAAAGGTCACTAGACAATATAGAGTAATATGCTATCATAATACAAAAAAGGCAAACCTTTTGTTTCTTTAGAAGCAATTTCTGGATGAGATGTGGGGAGGCATGAGGACAACTCATCATCCTCTATCCAACCATATGACTAGAGGTTAGTTTGTATGCGTGCGTGAATGGATTTTGGCTGGGTGTGTCGTTTACGAATATCTCCCAGCTACCCCGTACTCCAGCAAAGCTGAGACAGAAAAAAATATGAGTGGGTGCGAAGACAACTCGGCATTCTCTGTCCAACCATGTAATTAAAATTTAGTTTGGAATGTGTGTGGGTGGGGGCGTAGTTTACAAATGCCCAAATTTTTGCCACTTTTTTCTACTTTAAGTTGGATGTTTGAAACTATAAAACCCCATTTCTACCTCATGCCTCCTTCAGTTATTATTTATAAATTAGATAACAGAGTTGTTTATTTCTTACAAAATAAGAGCAGCATCAGGTTCTCATATGCTATCGTTTCCTATGGAGATTCGGTTAATTGTTGCATTCACGGTATTTTTCTCTCTTACTCTTAATAATTTGGCGATGAGCAATAGATATTTTTATTTCCCTCACCTGTGCGTAGTTGTATAATAAGACGCCTACATATTCGTTTCTAAATGTGATCAGGTGTGTCGCTTCAGTAGCTATATAAAGAGAAAAGTTTCGCATCATAATAATTAAGTGCGGAAGGTCATTTTTTTTGCTTCCTTTTTTTTTCAAATAATCAATTTTACATTCTTTTATTTTAATCAAATTATTTCTTGTTATTTAAATAATTACTGTACAAAATTATAGCTCTTTATTCGATAATATTAGACTAACTTAGAAACATTTTATCAGATTCATTAATATTTTTCGTTGAAATTTAATAAAATTCGACAAAAGTGATATTCAATACAACTTTATACAGATTTATATAATGAGTGATTATATTACTACCTTTGAGCATCTATCGGATGATGTCATTATGATAGTGTTTGAAGAGCTCGATGTCTATTATCTTAATCAAGCATTTAAATATTTAAACCATCGATTAAACACGATACTTTCAGATATCCGTCTACGTTTCTATCATTTGGATATATCTATTGTTCCACAAGAACATCATAATCATTATTTAACGACGATACTACCAAATATATGTAATCATCTTGTTCGACTGAAAATATGCAGAACAGATTTTCAACTTGATTTAACCAATTATTCATTTACCCATCTCAAATATCTAATTCAAGACATGGAATATTCCATAGATGATTTTTATAAATTACTCTCCCATCTAATTTCGATTCGTTCTTTAACTATTGATTATATATGTCGAGCAAATGATGATAATGGTCCTTCATTAAACAATTTACACTATATAAGTTTATCAAATCTACATTATCTAAATTTGACAATAATAAATCTAAAATTTGAAGATTTAAGTAGGATACTTAAACAAGCGTCGAATTTAAGAACACTAATTATTCATGGTAATATATACGATCATAAATATTTAAATAGTGACATTTGGAAAGAATTCATCTGTAATTATTTATCACAATTAAAAAAATTTGAGTTGACATTTCAATGTACTGATTATTCACGAATTCTTGAGTTTAGAAAAAAGTTAATACAAGATGTTTATTGGCTATCAAAAAAAGATCAATTTAAAGTAAATATTTATCCTTTCTTCATGCTCGAACATTCCACATTACGAATTCATTAGATTTATCAGTTTTGTGTTGTATGCATCTTTTTTTTTTTACTTTCTCAATCGGTTAACGTTTCTTTTATTTTATTTTTCTGCAACGATTTTTTTGTTTCCCTAAGATCTGACAGACGAATTTTTACTATTCAAAAAGAAATCTGCTCGTTAGACATTGAATGGGAGAATGGCCCCTTTCAAATTTTATTAATTATTTTGTTAATTTGATAACTTCTAAAAGTTGATTACTTTTTTTTATAAAACTATGCAGGCGTGTGACGTCGACTATGTGAGACAGTAGTATTTCATGTACAAAATCCTTCCGGAAAATATTTTTATCGTTATTTGGTATCGAAAACAATGCTGTTTTTTTTGAAAATCATATTTTTTCAAAATTGACATTTTTTTGCAGATGTACAGCGGAAAGAGCATCGTTCAAAATCCTAAAGATCTAGCTCTCATTAGGATCCGTTTTGTCCTTACACTAAAAAGAAATTAACCCTCATTTCACCACCTGGGGTCCGTACGAACCCCACGCGGAAAAGCACATTTGAATGAAAGTTTAGTTTCTCAACTTCGATCAGCGGTCATTAGCTGAGGTTAGTATATATTGACGGTACGCCATATCGACGCCTACCGCGAACAAATTGAGATGATAAGCTCTAATACTTTCTACAAAAAAAGCTGAAAAGAAATCCAATGAAATATAGGCAAATCACAGGTGGTGAAATGAGGGTTAAACATTTTTAAGCAAATTTTGAAGGGTGAAAGTGTTGGAAATGAAAAAGGAAGGACTGTCGACCATTTTTGATCAATATCGTATTGGGTCATTTTCTTACAGAAACCGTTTCTTGTCCTTTGTTTTTCAAATTTTTTTATTCAAACGGTTCAATGCCAGCGCAAATCATTCAAATGACAGATGGAAACGATTGATATAACATATTCTTCTTTTCTAATAAAAAACAACTGTTGAGTCTTGAGCTTACGAAACTTTAGTGTTTTAATATCTCCATAACATTTGGTTCGTAGGAGTTTTTCTCTTCGACATTTGCTTGTCGCTATTTGCTGGAGTTAATGATCTGATGGGCGGCCACGTGTATTCTTTATTACCACATGAATTGGCTGCTAATGAAGCGAGCAGAAATATTACTATATTTGATGAACTATTTGAAAACGGCAGCGATATAATATCAAAATACTCCACTTGTAACTCGAAATACTTGCTCACATTCCTCATCTTCTTACACTCATTGGAACTTTCAAATAACGTTTAATTAATTTAAAGTAATTTTTGATCGAAAAAACGTTAAAAACTTAATTTACAATAATTTGAGATGTCAAATTAATTAAAATTCATATGAAATAAATCAGTTTGCATTACTTCGACAATTACAGTTAGTTTAAATTGATTTCATTTGTTAAATTGCTTCCAGTTAGTTTGAAAAAAATTGATTGCAACTAGTTTATAATGAAATTCGTTTAAATTAATTTATTCCGAATAAGTTTAAACTAATTTTGTGCCTTATTTCGCTTTAGATTGATTACTTCAAACTAGTTTATTTGGAACCATTGGAAATTAATTTTGATCGTTCAGGATGGTGTGAATCAGCTTTGATTTCTTAAGGGGCCCCTCCCCTCTAAAATTTTTTTTCCCAGAGCACTCAATCTTACTGAAATTTTTATTGAATATGTATCTGACCATTGATAGTTCTCAGTAAAAATTTGAGCTCATAATATTGAGTTTTTCGCGAGTTATTGTAACATCAAGGGTCAAAAAGCAGGTGTCCGTGTGTCAAAGATTTTGTTTTCAATTTCAATGATACAGACCTCGGGATAGTGTCAAAATGTAGAGAAGACCTACCCCTACAACCTAACAAAGCCGGATTTTTGAAAAACAAAAACATTAATTTTTTTAGACAGTTTTTTCGAAAAACCTAGATTAATTTTTTACAAAACGCGAGTTTTTTGTAAACAAATAAATTGAAAACAAAAATTCCGGCTTTCTTAGGTTGTAGCGCTGATATTTACCTTCATTTTGAAACCTTCCCGAGCTTTCTATCATTTAAAATGATGGAGAAATCTTTGATGCACAATGAGGTAAAACAAAAAAAACAGTTTCGAGAGAAACGCAAAACAAGTTGTTCCTTTGATTATCGCGATTTTTTTTGGAAAGTGGCACAGAGAAAAGTCTGGGAGCAGTTCGTCGTAGGTTATCGGCTATGGCAAATCGAATGAGCACATGTAGAGACATGTGCGACGTACTTTTTCTCATATGTAAGCGTTATTTCCACGGAAAAACCATAAAAAATCAATCAGTTTTTGATGTTGGGTGACTCAGAAAAACCGCTGTAAAACCCTCAAAAACCATCGTAAAACCAATAAATCATAGTGCATTCGAAAGCAGATATATTGGGCTATACAACTATGCATAAATGTCCAAATCGATTTTTTTGTCGAAAAATGCTTTTTTTGAGGGGTGGGGGCCCTTAAATCCATTTGAATAACTCTTCTTGTAATAAATTTAGACTGATTTCGACGGTCGAAATTAGTTTGAAGAGATTTATTTCAGAAACCAAATTATTTTACAGTTATTAGTTTAAACGAATATCAGGTCCTTTAACTGATATGAATAAAGGACGGGGTGCAATAAGAACGAGGATCGGCCCCATTCCAGATCTTCTCGAAAGGTATCTAGAATAAAAGAGCATACAATTTTATGGGGTTCTACATCGTTGGTTCCCCTTCGGACCTCATATCTGTCAGAAAATCGATCAACTTTGAACAATAGCTTCGCGAGTCCATTCCGAGGTGGTTTTCGTAATTTTCTCAGAACACAACAAGTTTGAAGGAAAGTTTTAACACCATTCGATGTAGCTTTAAACGGCGAACAAAACTGTCTATTACTCAATTGTTATGTACACTGCGAACACCTACGTTTTTGCCATATTACTGTTAAAATGACCTTTTCAGCATAGCCGACGATAGTATTTCAGCTTTTTCAACAGGAAAGAAACCAGGTTGCGGTCTACATTGTATATCGAAAGAAAGCTCTTTCAAACTCTAAAAAACGGTGGGTAACTAACTCATTTCTAGTTGGAAGTGCGAACACTCACTTTTTTGGATATTACTACTGAAGAGTGATGTTAGCATAGAGACGGATAATGTTTCTGTGTTTTTACCATGAAAGAGTTTAGGTTGTGGTCTACATTATATATCAAAAGAAAGCTCTTTCAAAACTGTGAAAAATGCTCTGTAGTTCCTTTCGAATCAATACTGCGAACACCGACGTTTTGGGCTATTACTGTTAAAAGGCGGTCTTTTCAGCATACCCAACGATAGTATTTCTATTGTTTTCACCATGAGAGCACCTAGGTTGCGGTCTATATTATATATCAAAAGAAACTTCGGCATTAAAGCAAATCAGGTTATATTCGTAATGTTAAACAGCCTGTAACTCTGTCGTTGGAGATCGTAGAAACGTGGTCAGCATCTCATTTTGTGGAGTTTTGAAAGTGCTTTCTTTTGATATATAATATAGACCGCAACCTAGGTGCTCTCATGGTGAAAACAATAGAAATACTATCGTTTGGTATGCTGAAAAGACCGCCTTTCAACAGTAATATCCCAAAACGTCGGTGTTCGCAGTGTTGATTAGAAAGGAATACGATCTCGAACGACAGAGTTACATGCTCTTTAACATTACGAACATAACCTGATTTGCTTTAATGCCGAAGTTTCGACCTGCGCCGCATTTTTCCTGGCATTGTGGCACATCATCGTAGAAACGTGGTCAACATCTCATTCTGTGGAGAGCTGAAGGAGCTGTCTGATGATATGGTTGAAAACTTCTGAAAGAAATTTGAAGGTCACTAGGTTTTCTAGAAAACCTGTCTCAAGACCCCGAGGCTTAGCATAACGTTTCTTCATCGAAATGTATAGAACTCGACGCGCTCTTTCATTGGATAGCAACTTCAAGGAGCACGGCTAGAGACTTGCGATTTTCACCATTCGATTCAGCTTGCTGAGCTCTATAATATGAGACAGGTCTCGCCACTGACGTCAAAGGTCGATGTAAATGGTGGTAGCTTTTATATGAATCGACGTTATCCGCCGATGCCGAAAACATCTGTCTGCAGTAGTAACATCCGAAAACCTGAGCGTTCGCACTTGCAACTAGAAATGAATTACCAGCCATTTTGTAGAGTTTTAAAAAAGCTTTCTTTTGATATATAATATAGACCGCAACCTAAGTTCTTTCATGGTAAAAACACAGAAGCATTATCCGTCTCTATACTTAAAAACATCGATCTTCAGTAGTAATATCTAAAAAAGTGAGTGTTCACACTTCCAACGAGAAATAAATTATCCACCGTTTTTTAGAGTTTTGAAAGAGCTTTCTTTTGATATATAATGTAGACCGCAACCTAAACTCTTTCATGGTAAAAACACAGAAACATTATCCGTCTCTGTCCGTGTGTTCGCAGTTCCAACTAGAAATGGGTTAGTTACCCACCGTTTTTTAGAGTTTGAAAGAGCTTTCTTTCGATATTTGTCGTTTTTCTGCTCTGTTGTTCAACCGATTATTTCGAGTGTCATATCACTTGATGGAAGGACAAAAAACTAAACAAAACCGAATGTTTTGATGTTCTGATAAAGCATATCTTCGTGTCCAAAAATGAAGCAAAATGGAAAATTTATTCTAATTGACGCAGAACAACTAAGTTTTGTCATACCTTCGAGTCGTTTCTCTCTCCATTATCCAACTGGTTCTCTGCCACTCTCTAAACAAAAGATTCGTTCATGGAGACACGTGAACAAAGAATCGACGACACAAAATTTATTGTGCAGTAAACAAGAAATCACCTGCAGTAAGTTACATCGTATGATTGAGACAGTTCGTTTTGGTGTTCTTTGTTTTCTGTTTTGTTAGTCAAGTAACGCTGAGTTTTGTGTGCTGTGCATTTGTATGATCGAAAAGAATGATGTGTTATTTTAACGGATTTCGAATTGGTGAAAGAACA